CGGCTTCAATTACGGCTGAGTTAAAACTCTTATGTAATGATATACCAACTACGTCATTTAATTCAAGCTATCTTCTCACACGTGCACTGATTTCTCGATTGCAGCGATATAGCATTGATTTCGATGGGCTTGTTTTGTAATTATGCTCCAGATGGATAGTGTTGATACGCCATGCACCACTAAGTTCTGAACATGCTGTCAATCTTGCTTTACATCCTGTTTGCATTGTTGGTTGAGGCTTCAGGATTGAATTTGAGCCACTAGTTCAACGGCCCCCCCGACTACATGTGAAAGTAACATAATGCACAACCCCATCCTCACCATTCCTTGAATTTCTTTTCCTCGCCGAAAATCCGACTTGGTATGCCTAGTTCTTATAAAATTCGAACACCTCATTCTCATCTTGAAACTTCATTCCAACACTAGGCACAATAAAATCAGTTCTTTATCGTAAACTCATGTCATTCGGATTATCGTCTTCGGATGAAGGGATTTCAAAAATACCTACATTCATGATAGGAGGAACAACAATCAAAATAAGAATTCTTGGAGGGGCACACTATACATTTTGTAATGGATATGATTGTGCTAAAGAATGAACAACAACAAAAATAAGTCTTTTTTCAATTATTGGACTAAAGAATGTATTTATACAGCCAAAGTTTAGGTTAAATTTCGTGCCCAAATTGGTTTTCGATAAGGGTTGAATCAAAATAGGAAGCAAAATAATTTCTGTCTCGTGTAACCATTTATCATATGTTACAAACACTTGATAATGCATAGTTTAAGTAAAAATATTTTGCTGATCAAACTTTATTCCTTGTTATTGCAAGCTACAGCATCCTACAGATCTATTCAAGTTGATTCCCATTCAACCTTTTCCGTACTACTTTGGTTCGTTCTTCTAGTTTTTATCCAACTTTGAACGTTTTTCATCCTAAACTTCACATTTAGGTCTTCATCATCCCAAAATCATTCACAATTGATCTGGTGCAAGTCCTGAAAGTTCGTAATTTAGTTCCCAAATTTCAAAATATCTGAGTTTATCGTTAGGAACTCATGAATATAATCTGATTGCTCCATTAAAATGTTAAATTGGTTAATTGCAATCTAGTTGATCTTCAAGTGATTTGAATGAACTCCAATTAAGCTCTAATCTCTCATATTTCACTTCAATTTCATAAAGTCCATCTAAATTGATGTTTACCTATAATTAACATATTGTACACTAGGTTAACTATCACTTAATTCACCATAAATAATTAAATAAAAATGTCATAAATANCCCCCTCCCCCCCCCCCCCTTTTTTTTTTGAAAACTCTATAAATACCTCACATTTAAACCCCTTTTTTTCACTTCAATCCTCTATAATCTGCTTTCTACATTTTGTAATCTACTCAATTCAACTTCTTATTATATTATTCAATCGTTTACATATTCAATTTTACTTTGTTAATAATTATTCTTATATATTTTTTCATTTCATCTTAATTCAATTATTTTCTTTTTCATATTTATACATTCCTATTTCTTTTTATACAAATGGATCCCAATAACAATAGTTATGTTGAGGCTATGTTGGGTAGTAGTAACTCATCATTGATACCACAATTTCAATTCAATAATGATTTTTTTCAGTTACAATAACATCCCAATTCTAGACGATTTTGGCGTTGAAGATAAGCATGGCAGTGGTCATCGAAGTGATTTGGATGATATTGATGAAAAAGTAGAACTCGAAGTAGTCGATTCCATGGGTCGTATAGTAGGAGTGCTAGTATCTAAAGTATTATGCAAATATTGTCAAACAAAATTAGTATGGCAAAAGGGAATGGAAACTACCCACCCCAACTAGCATTGTAAGAAATGTTCAACCAAATATGGAGATATTCGTCAAACATAAACACAACTTCAATTTTATAATCCTTCACCCGATACTAACTCTAGTACACTAGCACATGGATTTATTTGGGAGAGAAAAGGTCGTTATGGAATGGTCAGTTCGTTGTCCGTGCTGAGTTATCGCTCAGTATAGTAGGCAATAAATATTTCACAAGATTCATGCAAGATTATCTTCATATGTTGCGGTAAGTAGAAATACTTTTCATTCTAATTACGTTGAATATTGTATTAGGCACAAAAAAAAAATGCTAATATATGATTTACAAAAATATGGTATTGATCTTTTACATCTAACTTATGGGAGTGAATTAATAAAATAGTTATATAGCTGCAACTTCTCACTATATAGATCCACTATAAGTAATGCATACAAAAATAATTACTTTTAAAATAAATTGAGTTCTCTCATAATACACACACACACACACACATATATATATATATAACTAAAATTCGTAATTTTACATTTGATAATGAAAGAATTAATAAACCTCTAATTGACAAACTATGTTAATCCAAATTTTAATTATTTTCTATTTCATGCTCGTTGTGTATATCATAGATATAATTTAATTGTACAACATGGAATTAACATGTTAGCATACAAATTGGTAAAACTGGGGACACACTTGTATATTTCACAATATCACAAGGAGAGAACAAGCTTTTGAAAAATATTTTCTCACGTAATCTAGAAAATTTGTAACCAATGTAAGTCGTAAGTGAAACTCAACTTACTTTTTACTAAAATCTTGTGAAGGCTATGAACCACTAAGTACTAAAATTTATATTTCTATACATACACAACAATCTAACGAAGATGTTACAGGTTATGATTGGGAACTTATTTTTTCAAAGTTACAAATTTTTTTACAACTTTTTTTGATGCTGCAAATGTATTATTTGAGGTGTACTGCCGTCCTAGTTCTAAAGTTCTTGAACAATTTTATATTATTTTATTGTCTTTCAATGAATAACAAATTGATCCCGATTTTAGTGATACATTATATGTGATTGACCTAAAATTTAGAAAATAATGGAAAGACTTACTTGTGTTATTTTCTTTGACTTGTGTAATAGACTCTCGATATAATTTAAAGGGTAAAAAACATATTATACGAAAAGCTTCAAATGCTTTTAATTTTGATGCTCCAATTACATATTCTAATTTATATAAAACTTTAACAGATATGTAAAAATTATATGCACTATGACTGGGTGCAGATGTTAGATGGACACCCTCCATACCCCATTTTCCACTAATTTTGGAGCAAAATATGTGAAATTATTGAATTTATACACAGATATTATGGATGAAACATTTAATATAGGATCTTCTAATATGCTTCCTTCATACAATCAAAACTCATCGCATGTAGGTCTAGGAAGAATGCCTGCAAAATTACATAGATAGTTTAGTCATCAAATGCATATAATTGTGGAGCTAGCTGATGCAATGGCAATAGAATTACTTGATTTGAAGACATCATGAAATCCCTTTGTTTCTGCCATTAACCTAATCTACTGACATCTTCGATTATCACTGTAGTATCGAAATATGCTTTTAGTGCAGGTGGTCGAGTCTTATCCGAGTTTAGAACTAACTCAAAGAAGACATATTAGACAGTTTAATATGTATAAAGGATTGACAAAACCCTGAGTACCGAGTCCAATATCAATATGCTAAAATTGTGTCTAGTCTGGTAAATGTTAAGTTCATTATATTCTTACTTTGTTAGTTTCTTAATATTATTTATTTAAAAAATTGTATATGTAACAAGTTATTTGTGTACAATTTTAACTTTGCATACTGAAAAATTAAGTAATCGACCCTAAGCCTTGAAAAGGAGGAGAATTTTTTAAAATTACAAAAAAAAAAAAAAAAAAAAAAAAAAAAAGTCTTGGCCCTTGAACACAAGCTCGTGAGCTTACTTGGTCCATTTCCATCCTTAAACTAGGTTTATCATTTTATCTTTCTCCATTACTCCTCAACCACAGTTGTTATTGAGTGAGCTCCATTGCTTCTCAACCACGGTTGCTGTTCAATGAACTCCTCATGACTACCCTTCAATCTTCATGGTGAAGAACCATCATCACCACCACATATAACGTCACATGCAACGAGATAATCGTCTTGAAATCCTGTATATTTGACATACCTTAAAGCAACACTAAAGAGGAAACTGTCATTTTCTTGGACATTGTTATATGTAACCTTTAGTTTATATAAAGAAAAATTCCAAATCTCCTTTGAATTCAAACTTGTTCATCAACCTATTCAACTCTTGTTTAGTGGCCTTTTATATTTCAAATTTATCTTCCATTCAACAAGATTTTTCTGTATCAATATTTCGCGGATTTCTATTTTCTAGAAATTTAGGGGGCAAGAAATGGGATTTTGCATAAGGGATTATTTTGCAGAATGTTTTTCTCTTTCGAATTTGAAATTTGAGGTGATTGATCAATCGGAGTCGGTTTAGGTTGATTTCTTGGTTCTCGATTTTGTGCCCAGGCCTACTTAGATAATATGTTTAATATTTGTAAATATATACTTACTCATGTTTTAGGTTCGATGGAATTATGAAACTTCGAGAAATTCACAGTTCTTAAAAAAAGTCATATTTGATATATCTAGAAAATTTCGTGTGCCAGTTTACAAATCTCGAATGAAAAACGTAGTGTTGTTTTACAACAATCTAATAAATAAAAAGAACAACCGTCCCGATAACATATTTAAACTACAGGAAAATAAAGAGAAGAAAATAGAGAATCAATAGATTTGTGTATATTTATTGAAAATCAAAGTCCTATATATATGATTAGGATACATGGCTGAAGGAGTAACATAATTATAATAATTAGGGTTGTGATAATTCATTAATCAGTATTATAATATTTGCTAAAAAAATTTCATTTATCTAAATAGATGAGCCCACACAGGCCTATGTCAACTAAAGCCCAGCCCACTGTACCATAAACCGAATCGGGCACCAAATGAGATTCCCTAAGAAACAAAATATTACAAACACAAAAGTCCCAGAAAACATCCAACCCAAAAATAGCAAAAGAAATCAAAATGTGAACCCAATACAAAAGAAAGAACGAAGAGTCAAGTCAAGTATGTAATGTAACCAAACACAGAGGGAGAGAGAGAGAGAGAGAGAGAAAGAGGACCATAAAAATCATTTTAATCAAAACAAAATCAAAAAAGAAAGAAATTAATCTATCAACATGGAATTTGTTCAAATTGAGAGCGAGATGGAATATTATTATTATTATTACTACTGTTCTTTTTGTGTTGCTATTAATTCCATTTTATTATTCTTATTATTATTAATCTCTCTCTATTTTGGTATTAGAATTCCCAATCACACCTGTCTCTATATTATTAATCTATTGAAATTTCTCTCGCCTTTAGATTTGTTATTTCCTCTCAAGATAGGAGGAGGAGGAGATTTTGTGTTTTGAGGAGCCCTAGTTTTTTAGCCGGAGGCTAGTGGTGTTTGATCTGGAATGGACCCCGATTCTGAGGAAGAGATCAACAGGAACGTCAATCAGAGCCCGCCAGATGGCCCCAAGCGGCCTAAGCGTCAGATGAAGACTCCGTTTCAATTGGAAGTTCTCGAGAAAACCTATGCAAGTATGCTTATTTTTTTTACTTGATTTTGTTCTTTTATGAATTTGTCAATTTATGAGTTCATAGGATTTCTTTTTGGTTTTGTTTAGGTGATAATCTCATGGTTGCATTCTTATGTGTTTGTTTAGATAGGATTTGTAGTTGCTAGTTTCTGATTTCTGGATTTTTTTTTTAATTTACTTAAAAGAATAATTTCATATGCATGATTGTACCAATTATTGTAATATTGAGATTATTTTCTTAATGTATGTAATGAAGCTTATATTGACAAGTTTTGAGATTTTTGGTGAATTATTCATGTAGATATGAGATGTGTGTACTGTGTATTTAGTGAATGCATGTTGGTTGGTTAGTTGTTATTGGTGTGAAGACAAAATTTTAAGGTGTTGAAAGTTTGCTTGCGGTGGTTCTATGCAGTGGAGATGTATCCATCCGAGGCAACACGAGAAGGGCTATCAGAGAAATTAGGTTTAACTGACCGGCAGCTGCAGATGTGGTTTTGCCATAGGAGGTTGAAGGATAAGAAGGAATCTGCAGGAATGGCTGCAGCAAATGCTCGCACCACTTCGTCGGTTGGGAGGAGGGATTTAATGGAGTCCCCTGGAAATGAAATGTTGGCAGCTGAGTCTGATAGTGAACATGGGTCTGGGTCTGGGTCTGGGTCAGGGTCAGGGTCAAGGTCAGGATCAGACTCTGGTTCTCGTTCGGACTCTGGTTCTCGTTCAAATCAGTTTGGTAATGGAGATGGTGTACCAATGGTGCCAGTAAGGCATTACGAGTCATCTAGGACAATCATGGAGCGGAGGGTGATAGCTTGTGTGGAGGCGCAGTTGGGAGAGCCATTGAGGGAAGATGGGCCAATTCTTGGGATGGAGTTTGATGAACTGCCACCTGGTGCATTTGGTTCACCTATAGGTATTTTTATTTTTGCTTGCTACTATTTATATCTTGTGCATAGGCTTGGTCACGTGGTTTGTGTCTCTACTGCCACTGAATTACATAGCATGAGACTCCATTTATTCACATTGTATTCATTGATATGAAGCTGCTATTCTTTCATGGCATCAAAGAGATTCGTTCTTTCCGTGTGAGCACTACTAGACTCTTGATTTGTACAAACATGTTCTTGATGGTTTCTTGTTCTGCAATGAACTGCAAGTGAAAAGATCCTGTAATTAAAGAAATGAGAATGATAGGTACCTGGACTGAACTTTAGTCTGGGGAAGATGCCGAATTGCTCCTAACTGCACCCAACCTGATCACGCCAAGAGAAAATAGTTACAATCTGCCCTCAGCAATATGAAACAGCAACATGAATGTATTCACTAGCTTGCAATTCTGGAAAAAATTGAAACAGGAATGCAGTGTGATTTATTGAAAGTTTATGAAGAAATTTAGAACAGCTCTAAGGCTTTTGAGAGGCCTGGACTCTCCCAATGACTCAACTGGAAACATGAATGATTTCCCCCCATTACATTTATTTTCAACCCCTTACAACGACTCTTCCCCAATCC